TGGCGCTTCCCTTTTGACACAGTTGCAATTGCTGATACTTTTTACATTTCGTATAGCTTATTGCTGCATAGAAAAAAGGGGGGCAGTTTTGAACTTTGCTTAAAGCCTATCTGGGGCATCTCAGTGGCCGCATTAAAAACACTTCATTGGTCTCCTTTTTTTCATCAGTTTCTTGAGCAGCAACAGATTTCAAGGAACCATTCCAGCAACATTCTCGACCCTGAAAGGCCTAACTAGCATGTACGTGTCCTGTGCCCTCCCTGCTTACCATCATCAAATCCCCACTCTGTCCCTGTCTATAACCCTCGTTCCTTCTTCACTCAATACACCACTTGTTCCGTCCCCCCATATTGCAGAGACCTTTCGGTTAATCAACTGTCTGGCATAATACCGCCAGTATTTGCCACCAGCGTCCAATCAATGTATTTCACTCCTCCCTCCGCCTCCTGCCCCACCTTCCCAAGTCTAAACCCACCATGTCTACTTCCTTTACCTTCATGACTTAGCTCATATCTATCTTTTCTTGCATTCCCTCCTCAACCCTTTTCCTTTTTCTGGTTGGAACTTCCTGTTCTTGCGCTCGTAGACCTCTGGCATTTTCTGCAAACATTCCAGCTGCCTTTCCATAAATGCAAGACTATTCTGGTGTACTTTGATAGTCTCTCCTAGCCTTGAAGCTGACCATGTGGAAAGCCATAGGCAACTATGGCGCTTCAGCTGATAATGATGCAAAGTGTGCTATGCACCGTTTGCAGTGGGCTGCTCCACTGCTCCCATCCTCCTGTAATGGTCACCTGGGCTTACGACAAATGCCTGAGTCCATCTAGCTCCACGCCGTGTTATTGAGCTCGAGGCTCCCTCATGAACTACTCCTAATTCCAACATAAGCATATCATATAGCTCGATACAATTCCTGATTAATTCACACCATATTTTCAATGACGGTCCAGGCTCCCTCACTCAATGACGGTCTCATGGCCTCTTGCCTTACCCTGCATGCCAAGCCACAGCACTCACCCCATCTTTCTCTCAACATCCATACCAGCATGCATATAATGCCCCCCTTTCCCCGCTCTTCGTTTCACACTCTTTTGATCTCTAAAGCATTGTGACTTTCACTCTCTTCCCCTTTCTTGCCTCTAACACTTCACTCCCCTCTTCATCCGTGACTCGCTTTGTAACTTCAAACCCATAATCCCGATCATAATCTTCCCCTTTTTACAATCATCACACCTCTCTTTGTGAGTGACGTTCACACCTTGAAACAAATATTTACCCGCCTCTCCTCTTCTGTTTGCCTGTCCAGATTGCTCCGTCACAATAATTTCAGTGGATCCATCCCACCACACCTGGCACTGCCCAACCTTGTTGAGTTGTGAGACCCCCATGGTTGCCCATTTTATGCACTCATCTTCAATTCCCCAGACCATCTTGGGATTTCCTCTAACCTGCGCACTCTGCCTCACCCCATTCTGAGAACTCGTGCACATCACTCCCTTTCTAATCTGCAATGGTTCTTCCTTGACTGCAGTCAACTATTCGGAAATCAGTTCACAGGAGGCATTCCCAGCAACTTCACTCGCCTCACTGGCATGAATCAACTATATGTCTCCCCCCCAAGCTGTGCTCCCCACATTTATCTCTGCCTGCCCTCATGACAATAAACTGCTGATATACAAAATCAAATGCAGGGCCTCATATGTCACTGGCCATTCATTTATTGTACATTCCCAGTTGCTGTGTTCTCAGAACTACGGTCTTTGCCGCCTACATGTGTGTGTGTGTACCGCACGCGCGTGCGTGCGTGCATGGGTGCATGCGTGTGTGCATGCGTGTGTGCGTGCGTGTGTGCGTGTGTGTGTGCGTGCGCGCACGCATTTCAATTGGCAGGGACATTGATACCAACAATCTAAGCTCAGGCCTTGACGTGGTGACTCGGATGACATGGCTCCAAGGCATGTAAGTTTTCTGCCCACTTCACCACCTGAGCAGCCTCCTTTTGGCCCTCACCTTGCTTTCCATTGCTCCACCAGTTCGGGTGCCTGCAACACCCGAGCTGAGGAGCCCTCTCCAATACTGGCTCTGCAGATTTCTCGGATCCAACAACTTCTCTGGTGTGCTTCCAGCATCCTTCACAGCAATCAGTGGCCTCGAAAATTTGTGAGCCTACTGGATCCATCTCTCCCTCAGCAATGCAACGATGCCTTTCGTTGCGCCTCAATGGATGGGTGGGATGCAGCAACAGTTTGTGTTTCGACTGCCCCTGTTCTAACTTCACCTGAGTATTGAAGGGCTCGCGCCTATAATCAATTCGTGTAGCCTTCTATTGCAATTCATGGTGAACGAATGCGCATGTGCATAGATAAATTCCGTATGTATGAAATCGTACACTTTCATATCATCACGCGTCGCGCTGCCTCCGTTTGTGTTTGCAAGCACACAATATCTAACGCATTCATGAGCAACTGTACAGGTTCAAGAGCCCATCTTTTTGTGCCCAAATGTTTGTGCATGTGAGCAATGGCCTGTACATGAGCAATCTCATGTATTTGTTTCATCGTTTCCTTGGATCTTGGGTCTCACTCAGAAAGGTTGGAAACAACCATTTTACTGGAACCTTCCCAAATTTCACCCTGCACCAGAAAAGGCTTTCATACTTGTAAAACACCCATTCATGACCTCAAAGGCGGGTTGCACTGATGAAATCAATGCTGTCATTTCTTCCAGTACCACCCGAAACAAATATCGGAACAACTCATATGGCAACTCGCATCGCAATCTGAATGGTTATGGCAGGAATTTGTACAACAACAGTTTCATAGGGATGAAACCTTGCGAGTTGACCGAGGCTGTCAGCCTGGAATACATGTATGCTTCACCAGTTCAGTACTTGATGCACCGTTGTGGAGTTTACTGGGACTTGGGACGGGAAATGAACAAATAAAATCAACCAGTAGGGCTATGACTCAGGGTTGGGAGTCCGTGATAAAGTTTGCCATGCTGTATTGTGCTTGGACATTACGTCACTTCGAGTCTCTTGATACCATTGCCCAGAAATCTTAATGACAACAATTTCCATGGAACCATCCCAACTGGCCTGCTTCAGCTACCCAATTTGGTGTCACTATAAGTAGCTCCAGTATACTTGTTTCAGAGATCCGTTTTTTCCAACTATCACCTCGGTGTGCCTTCAACACTTTCTTTCATTGAAATGATGCATACAAATCTGTTAAAGACCGTCCTAAAAAAAAAACGCCGTTGCATGTGCTCCTCTCCGCTGCCAAATTGGGAATCTGTACGCCTACTTCTTGCTTTGGATGCTTTCCATCCACATCTCCCCAAGTCTTCAACTTTCCACCACAAAATTGTTGCCTGTCTCTTAGAGGTGCACGATTCATGCATGTGCTTTAAAGGTTTCTCTTGATTTCCAACATCTGCATCTTGCCCTTCTTCAATTCCTTCTCCTTCCCAACACAGGGAAGTAGCTAACAACTTCCTTTCTGGGACACTCCTAGGGAATCTCAATGCCAACATTTCTCTTGAAACACTGTAATTTGTGCAACCATTGTGTGGTACCACTGCTGTGTGTGCTGCCACCACTATCACTGTGTGTGCTGCCACCACTATGTGTTTGCTGCCACCATTATGTGCGCCTGGTGCAACGCCATCCCTTCGTGCTTAACTTCCATGCCCCTCCAATCTTCATCTCCTTTTGAACTGTGCAGTAACCTGGGAAGAAATGGCTTCACAGGCTCCTTACCAGACTTCTCACACTGGAATGTCAGCTTTAAAGAAATGTAAGCCTCCATGCACTCTCTGACTCCTTGCCCCTCTCTAAACATAGCTTGCTCCATCATGGTCTTAGCACCATGGCGTTTGTGACCTTCCCATGTAAGCTGTCGCGTTCACCCCACGCACGACAGGCTATCTCGTTGCTGCCCTGCCTGTGTTGTTTGTGGCTCAGAAATCTCGGCAAGAACAACTTCACAGGGTCGATTCCCGACTCCATCTCCACCCTCACCTCCCTCGTGGGCATGTAAGCCTTCTTGTGACACAATGAGCCGCAATGCCAACCATGAGCACATAACCATGGAGCTATTCCCATCTGAGCAAGGTGGGATGTCGTGTACAAAAGTCACCGTTGAGCCTTTGCAGTGACATGCAGCCAATGGCAGGAGAAAGGTAGCAGTGGCAGCCTATGCGCAACCACACTGTCTGTGTCCTGACTGCAAATGCTTGTTCGCATATCCAACCAATGTATTCATTTCTATGCCCTTCCCTACAGTATGCTTAACAACAACCAACTGAGAGGCACCATCCCCTCTGCCAAATTTACCATGTCAAATCTGAGATACCTATGAGCCTCATGCGCTTAGGGATCCCCTTACTAAGGGCCCTGCCCATCAAGTGCTCCCACCTCTGCCCCGTGGTGCTTTCCTGATTCAGCCTGCACCTCTCTTGCATGCGCTGCTTCTCATCGCAGTGTCTCCCTGCCATTGCCCTTGCCGTTCAATTACTTCAGCCACATGGTCAACGTTGCCTCGCCCTGCCGTTGCCATCGCCCGTCAGCTACATGGCCAACAACCATCTGACTGGCAATCTGCCATCAGCCGATTGACAACATTTCTCTCTCATCGCAACTTTCTCCCTCCCAACTGTTGCCCTGCCATTGCCATTGCCATTGGCATTGCCCGTCAGCTACATGGCCAACAACCATCTGACTGGCACTCTGCCAGCCGCCGTCAGCCAACTGCAGAATCTTGAACAGATGTGAGGGTGCTATTTGCCTTCCTCCTCTATGCTTTTCAAGGCAGTTGACAGCTAAGAAGCAACACAGACAGCACAAGCACAAGCTTGTAGTACATTGTTATTATACAAAAATTAGCAAACATTCGTACCATGAAATGAACACGGGAGACTAAAACATGCAATTATCATCTGTGCCATCCCCGCTCCACCCCGTGCACTTCATGAAACCGTTGGTGCCGATTATCCTGCCAATGCTCTGTCTGTTCGCACAGCTGGTTGGACAACAACAGTATTGAAGGCCCTTTCCCTACTGTCATATGTTCGCTACCGCTGTGGCATTGGTGAGTCACTGTTGTACACATGATCGATTGTTTTCTTAGAAGTTTGCCAACCAGGACTCATTGCTTCTTGTTTTCATGATTTTGGGGATTTTTGATATGTAAGAAGTATTTTCATTTTTGTGTGTTTGACTTCAGCATGACGTGTGCTGCTGGCAGCATGATGAGTAACAACTACCTCTATGGACCGCTGCCAGACTGCTTCTTTCACAAGTGCATGAACCAAATGTGAGCCTACCATGCATACTCTATTCTTAGTACCATCCATAACACTTCGCACCCTCAACATGGGCATTACACAACACTTAATATCATCGTCTGCCCTCTGTGATTCCTCTGTGCATCTCACAGTGATGTGAGCGGCAACAACCTGTATAGGCGCATCAACCGCGACTTTGAGAGCATAGTGACGGATGGTAATGCACTCATCAACTTGGCTCACAACTTCTTCTTTGGAGACGGGGTGCTCTTTGCTGCCGGTTGCAAGGTCTGCCCTACGGAGGTCAGCGAGCCCAACAAACTCAACCTGTGGGACGCCTCTGCATGGCTACCTGGTGCATGCAATTCTGAGGCGGAGTCGGGCAAGATGGTGAGGGTGAGTCTGTCGGGAAATTGCCTGACCCTCACCCCAAGCAACAAGTGCTCATCCAGTGCCACCCAGCGTAGCACGGCAGCCTGCCAGGCGTTCCGCAGCATCACGGACAGGCCCATGTGACGGCCATGGGGCGTGTGTGCCGGCTGACCCCGCCTCCCTCTCCAACTTCACCTTCACGTGCCTGTGTGATGCTGGGTATAGCGCTGTCGACTCGGGCAACGGCTCTTCCACGTTTACCATCGTCCACTCCAACACCACCACCAACACTGGTAACCCGTGCTTCGTTCTTACAGCTCCACAGCACTGCCTCATTCCTATGTTCTATGCCAATAACCATGTTATAAGGCCTCTATATCCACACGTTATCACCGTTACCGGCTTATTTCCCTTGATCTGCCCCTCCTTGGCAGTGTCGTCTCTGTCCACAGGGCACCATCCTGGGCATTGTTTTTGGCTGCTTTGCTGGCTTCATTTTTTTGGCTGCTGTGGTCGCATGGCTGTTGTGGCCCCGAGGACGAAGTGAGTTCTTCGGCCCTTCGTCAGTTACATTCGTCTCCCCTAGTGCACCTCCTGGCTTCCTTCCTTGCTCATCTTCTCTGTCATTTTTTCCTTCGCTCCCTTTCCACTGCCTTCATACTCTATGTCCACTCTATACACCCTCAGTCACTTACTCTTTTTTTTTTTTTTTTTTTTTGTGCACAGAGAAATGGGAGGGTTTGGATATGTGTGAGCAATTCTCGCTGCAGCAGATGCTGGGAGGATAATGTGCTGGGTCAGGGAGGCTTTGGCATTGTCTACAAAGGCCGCTCGCCACAGGGCTAGCTGTGGGCCATCAAGTGCTCCACCATCATGACCAACGACTTTGAAACGGAGGTGAAGCATGCCTCCAATCCACTACATTCGGTCCACAGAGCAGGAGAAAGTATGTAACTCAATTACAAAACATAAAACGGTGTTATCTTTTCTCTTACGTGCTGACTTGCAGACTCAATACTCGCCCTTCCGTTCCCATCTGCTTCTGGTACTCTCCGTGTTGCAGGTGCGAGCCATGGCCTCTCTCCACCACTCGCACCTCGTGCGCCTGTTGGGCTTCTGCCTGGACCAGAACGTGGAGACGGGCAAGCAGGAGCAGATCCTCGTCTACGAGTTCATGGCCAACAGGGACCTGGCATACCATATCTACAAGACTAAGCGTGAGTTGCATTGACATGTTGGGTGAATGACTGCCACGCATTTGTTATTTTTCCCGGACACCAGCACTCATAAAATCACGCTTTTTGTCTCTGCGTTCATGTTTCCTGTCCCAGGTCCTCTCTCGCTGCGCTAGAGGTTGCGCCTGGCATAGGGAGCAGCAGAGGGCCTAGCGTACCTGCATGGGTTTGAAACACCCATCGTTCACCGCGACATCAAGCCAGCCAACATCCAGGTGAGAGCAGACATGCAAGCCAAGGTGGCTGACTTTGGGCTGCTCAAATGCCTCACTCACGGCAATGCTAATGCTACGCGAGTGGCCGGCACTCTAGGCTATGTGGATCCGGATTACGTCCGCACCCACGTCATCACTGTCAAGAGTGATGTGTTCAGGTCCGCATGCTTGTTCCTTTGCACAACGCAATGAACTTGGGCACCTTGAGTTTTTCTTCTGTTTCATGGCCAGTTATGCCCAGTATTGCTACCTCTACCTCTATGCATGCTTGTTCCTTCGCACGACACAATGAACTTGTGCACCTTTTTTTTTTATCCCCCTGGCTATGTTGAGTCCTTGTACTTGTACTGCGATCTCTATATCTATCCATTTCTTTGCAAGTCTTGTCAAATGGATGGTTGCTTGCAGCTTTGGAATTGTGCTTCTTGAGCTGCTGAGTGGAAGGTCACCCCATGTCGACGAAAAAATGCATATAAGAAAATGGGTATGCACATTATTGAACCCTTCTTGTTTTTGCATATAAGCGATTGGGTATGCTGATGAAATCAAATTTGCTCTCTGGCTTCATTACTTTATGGCAGCATGTTTATCCTGGAGTTCCTTTCGTGCTGGCATTCCCTGCCTTTCCTTGTTGCCATGCTTGCTTTCCCTGCCTTTCCTTGTTGCCATGCTTGCTCTCGTCCATGGCTTCGCCAAGCACTTTCCGCCTCTACCTCTTGGTCATCTTGGGGCATGCTGTCAACCCTGGTAGAAATCCCATGGCCAATTCTCGTTTTAGTGCAGCGGGCTCTTCTCACTCACCCAGTCCTTGGTCGTACACCATTCCTGAATCCGGGCTGCCCTCTTTGCTTCCTGAATCCCCTGGCTCCTTCATAAGATACGAAGGTAGCCTTTTGTACCTAGGCTCTCCCACTTGATTGCGGGGGCACTTGGTCTCGTGTACATGCTGATCTACCAGTGCTACCACTCTCTCGAGCTCCAGTATGTCCTCCACCAGCCGGGTTTTTGCCCAGGCTACCTCTAAAGTAGCCCCCGAAAGGGGCCCTCTGCCGCTTGCCTGTCTCGCTCAGGAGGGGAGGGCTTCCGAAGGCTGCATCGAGGATGAGGCGTGTTGCATGAGGGGCGGTCGTACAAGAACCGCACCATTGGCAACAGGCGGGAGAGGGCAGATCCACTTATGGCCACGGCTATTGCCTCTCGGTGGACGCTGTTGAAGCTATTGAATGTGTTGGCCAAGTCCGCTTGCAGGATCAGCTCCTCTGGGTTAGTGAGTGGCCATGTACGTTCGGGCTATATGGAGGATGACTGCTTCGGCTCCTCCTGTTACTGCTACTCCGTACTACATTGGTAAAAACTGGTCTCTTGCTGCCTCGGCAATGGAGGCAGCACAGCCTTGGCCACACACGAGGTGGGACAGGCTCTCGCTCATGGCGATTGGCCTTATTCCCACATCTGGTTTCGCCAAGGCCAACAGCCTGCCTGAGGTAAGAATATCCGCTACTTCCGCTAGCAGTTTCGCTGCATGGCACCCTGACGGCGTTGACGAGGGCGTGTAAGTGTGTTGCTATGGCTGGGTTTGTCAGAGCCGCGTCGCGCAGATGTTTGAATGTGGTGTCTGTCGGGCCTGCTGCAATGCCGTTTGCACAGAGTTGGGGTAGCTGCTAGTAACTGGCCCAGGTGGTGGAGACGGAAGTGCTGGCAGATGCTTTGCATTAAATGGGTCAAGGACATCGGGGGAGGGGGTGCTGACTAGGTAGGCTGGGCAGGCTTCTAGCACCATGTTGGCCTTCACAGGTTTCTCCTACAGCCGAGTCCTTCAGCCTGCGCAACTTTCCCGGTGTTGTCTTGGCAATGACTTGGGGAGGGGTGTGTGAGGGAGGGGGGGAGGAGGGGGGGGGGGGAGAGGAGAGGGCGATAGATTCCTGGTGCAGAGTGTCTGCCCAGTCCGGCCGCCTCAACAAAATCACGCTAAGTGAGAGACGGGGAACGAAAAGTAACAGCCGCCATCCTGACACCGAGTCTAAGTTACGGGTGAGATGGAAGAGTGGCGTCAGGAGGGCAAGGCCGAAAATTTGGAAAGGTTTGGGCAGGAGTCACCTTGTCAGGGGTGGTTGGCGAGTGTCGCAGAATCGGGGTACATCCCAGCATAGCGACTTGGTTTGCTGACTTAGTAGCGACTTAGTTTACCATTTGCAAGCTTTTTCTTTCTGGGTTTGCTGACTTGGTTTTCTGCTACTCTGTTTTGTGGTTTGCCAAATGCATGCATTCACACTCATGCATGCACCCACTCCCCACCAGCCTCTGCGACCCTTGTACCTAGACCAGCCCGTGGGCCATGGACCAGTCCGCAGCTGCGGCCTGGTACCTGGTTCGGACCAGCCCACGGAATTATCCGCTCCCAGGCCAGACCTGCGGCGGACCAGCCAGACCCTATATTGCTGGTAAAATGAAAGAGAAGAAGAAAACAACGAAATGCATCCCTTCAATTGAGATTTAAGAATTATAATTTCTTGCGCTTGTCATAGTTTGTATGATCTATAGTCATGTTGGATCAGATGTTTTTTTAGGTGACCATGAGATCTGTTGGAAATATATTGTGAGATAAACATTCCCCGTAAGGTTGGATTGCTTTATCGAGTTTCATAGTACAGCACAAGTTTCACCATCTGTGGGACATTTCCCGCTCGGCATCTTCATGGCCAACTGGTTGGGAAGGGAACTGAACACACCTGGCAGGCATTGATGGTCAGCTGCTTGTCTTTCAGAAAGGCGTGAACAGAGCGCGATAAATCTAGTGACAATGCCGATGGTCCATCCGGATGGGTTTTAGTTTTTGGGTTGCGAAGCAACCCTTTACGATCGATTTTGACATTTTTTTTTCATGGTTTTTTTTAAATAAAACATGAAAAAAAAAAGCTGTAAGCTACACTATCACCCTTCACATTGTGCATGTTGAAGTGTTTTGAATGTTGGTAGCAGTTTTTGTAGTAGTTTTGTGCATAAATGTTTTACTGTTTGTATTAGATCTTTTACTGTTTGATGTAGTGATAATTGCATGTAATAAATGTTATGAGTACTAATAATGAAGTACACGCCACACATGCTTAAATGAATGAAATGATGAGGCATGATATATAGGTGCATACCTAATAAAGATACACACATGAAAATGCATTTGTATGCATATGATATGCTGAAATGCACCACACCAGTATATCATACCAATGCGTGATAGTTAACGACCCAAAAACTAGGCTACCGCATCCCCTGCCTAGCATGGGGGGGAAGTCAATAGCAAAGTCTTTGAATAATCAACTAGCACATGAAACAATATAATCTGCTAACTCTAAAAAAGAGGTTCACTCTATCAAATCCAGTTCGAAGTGGCGAACACACGAGTCACTGAGTGCGCTAATGAACCAATGAGAAATGATAGAATTGAACCCCCTTTTTAGAATTAGCAGACATGCATTGTTATTGCTATGGAGAATTTACACACACATATACACACATACGCATATATACATACACATGCACGCACATATACAACCATGCACACAAAACCATACGCATTCACACAAAAATAGTTAATCACGCAAGCATTAGCAATGCAGTCGACGATATAAAGTATATAAAAACCCAAAGCGGGATAAGTTCTGTCTAGTCAATCTCCCACCCATGTTTTCTGAATTAACATGTTTTTCGTGCCATGAATTAACCAAAACTTCTCTTAGTCGGCTCCACGGGTCTTGGGCTTCACAGCCGCTGCAAGGAAATACAAAATTCAAACGTAAGTTGAAAGCACAGTAATAAGTTATATAATTTTGAGATAGTCAAATTATAAGTACAAAATCTGTCAGATATATATGACATAGCTGTTGTAGGCAATAGTGGGGTAGCACATATGTCAGATTACTATAGCTGATGCATGTTTGTAGGCTATAGTGGGGTAGCACATATGGGGTACAGCTTTCTAGGGTTGTATTTGTACCCAACCCTGACTTAGTCATTTCATTCCTGTTCACTTACTTCACATGGTATAGAGCGGGTCCATCCTAAGGACCGTTTTTTTAGGGCCCACCAAAGCGCGCCCCGAGGCTCTCTCGCGGCCCCGCCACCCTACCTGCAGCAGCCGAGCCGCCCACCTGCAGCAGCCGAGCGGAAGTGCATCCGAGCCGCCCGGGAGCCGAGCCGCCCTGCAGCCGAGCCGCCCGGGAGCCGAGCCGCCCTGCACCAGAGCCGCCCTGCCGCCGAGCCGCCCGGGAACCGAGCCGCCTTGCACCCGGGCCGCCCGGTCGCCGAGCCGCCCTTCTGCAGAGTTGCCCGGCCTGCCCTGCCTGGTGAGCACAGTCCTACTGTCACTGTGTGCTCTTCCCCTACTGCTTGCACTGCTTCGCTGTCGTCGTCATGGCTACCCCTAGTGTCCTAGCGTTTGACGCTGAGGGTCGCGCCATTGACTTTGAGGTCTGGTTAGACGACCTGCAGTTGTTTTTACAGTGCGATAGGGCAGACGGCCTCTCTCTCTTTGACCTTACCTCTGGCGCCTCTCCTGCTCCTGCTGCTGATGCTGATCCCACTGTGCGCTCTCAGTGGGCCACCCGCGATGCTGCTGCACGTCTTGCTGTGCGTCGCCACCTCCCTACCTCTGAGCGCGCGCACTTTAGTCAGTACAAGAGTGCTCTGACCTTGTACGACGCTGTAGTTGCGCGCTACTCCTCCCCTGCCACTGCTGCACTGAGCCGTCTCATGCTTCCCTACCTCTTTCCTGACCTCTCTGCCTTTCCCACTGTCGCTGACCTCATTACGCACCTCCGCACTAGTGACACTCGCTACTGCGCCGCCCTTCCTGCTGAGTTCTGCGCCAAGAACCCCCCCCCCCCATGTACATCACTCTCTACTACGTAGTCGCGCGCCTCCCTGACTCCCTTCGCGTAGTCCGGGACCACTTTCTCGCAGTCTGTCCCACCACCCTCACCGTTGACCTCCTCGAGAAGGCCCTCCTTGCAGCGGAGAAGAGCATAGTCGCTGTAGGAGCTTCTCGTGGTGACCCTCGCACCCCCATCTTTGAGGGGTGCTCTCCTTCCCCCTTGCTGCCCTCTGTTGCCTCTGCTGCTGCTGCCGACCTGCTTGGTCTTGAGTCGGTTGGCTCGGCGTCTGCCCCTAGTGGGAGACGTCGCTCTGGCAAGGGCAAGGGGGGCAAGGGCGCGGGTGGAGCTGGACGGGGCGGTGGCGGTGGCGGCGGAGGCGGCGGAGGGAGTGGGGGTGGCGGCGGGAGTAGTGGCGGGGGTGGTAGTGGTGGTGGCAGCGGCGGCGAAGACGGTAGTGGTGGTGGCAGCGGTGGTGGTGGTGGCAGCGGCGGAGGTGGAGGCGGCGGAGGAGGCGGCGGAGGAGGCAGCGGAGGAGGCGGTGGTGGTGGAGGGGGTGGAGCTGGTCGGAGTGGTACCCAGCAGCTGATCGGCGGTGGTGGTGGCCAGCGCTCGCAGCGGCAGCAGCAGCAGCGTTCGCGGGACATCCCTCCGCCTCAGCAGCTTCGTGAGTGGTACACTCAGCGTCAGAGGGGTGGGGGTACTGGTCCTTGCACCTACGTTCTTCGTTCCGGCGACCGCGCGGGTGAGCAGTGTGGGGGTGCCCACTCCACCCAGCGCTGCTTTGGCCGCCTGACGGACGCTTGGCGTCAGCAGTTCCCCGGGGCTAGTGAGATCCCTCGCTGGGATGAGCTTCTTAGGGCTGGTGTAGCGATCTTTGATCTTGATTTTGATGCTATCCTTGCTGCTATGCATGCTGTGACTATTAGTGAGGAGAATGAGGGTTACCGGTGTTTCCAGCCCGACCCGGGCATTGTACTGCTGCGCTAGGTACTTGTGAGGCTGCTGCTCTAGGTGCCAGTGCGTCTGCGCTCTCAGGTACTGGTGAGACTGCGCTCTCAGGTACTGCGTCGCCCTCGTCCTCCCTCACTTTCACACTTGACTCCGGGGCTTCTCGCTCCTTCTTTCGAGACCGCACCACCCTCACGCCGCTTGGCCGGCCGG